TGGAAGGTCCCCACAAGGATATTGTGACACAACATATCTGTGTGTGTGTGTGTGTGTGTAGTGGAAGTGATGCTCTCTACAAGACAGGATCTTAGTGGAGAACCCTAGGCAGTCTACACAGTTGGAGCTCATCAGTCTTATTAGATTGCTTTATTTTAAAGAGCAGCAGAGGCTTCACTCAGCACTGGTTTCTTGTTTTCTTGCTTCCTCGTCTCTTGCTCCCCTCATGTATTCCTAACGTTTATTGGATGTTGTCTGCTTTTCAGCTTTTGGGATTTTTTTCCTCAGTTGCCCTCAATTGACATTTTCATTACATCATCAAAGCTCAACTCTGCCTACTATTCTCTGCATTTGGGTCCTCAAAGCCTCCAACAAACCTGACAGTTTAGACACATCTGTAATTGTCTTAACAGCTAAGACCTCTTTTACAACGCTATTAAAAACTATTAAAATAAAAAATATATATTTGAACTGTATCCCTGTAATGTAAAACAACACTGATTAACATTTTATTAAATTTTCTTTACAATGGAACCATCAGTCCCTCTGACCACCATCGGTAGACAATCAGCTTAGGTGTCTTGTCCAAGAACACAACATTGAATGCTGGAGCTGGGAATTAAACCAACAACCCTCCGGTTGCAAGGCAGAATCCTTTATCCAAAGCCACTTTTGCCCCACTGATGATATTAATTAGTCTTCTAATGTTATCATAAGAGTTTTGCATATGGATGAATCTAACCTGGTCAGGGGCTAGTCAGAACTTTATCCAATCTGATCACTATATTGTCCGCTAAAATCTTGCACTCACAGTTAATCAAGCTTATTGAGGTGTAGTTTTTTTCAGTGTAGTGTTTGTCTTTCTTTTTTTTTATGTGAGGGTGACAACCGCCTCTGATAACATTATTGCCTCATCAAACATCTGGAGTAAGGGAGAAAGTTCCTAAGCAAAACAACTATAAAATTAAATTGTAAACCTGTCTTTACATGGTGCTTTAATTGGTGGAATGTAAGTAATTGTATTTGTTATCTCCTTCTTTGAAATTTGAGCTTCCAAAGATTAAATCTTAGCTTTTGTGAGGGTTGAGAGATCTAACTATGAAATGAATCAACAATTTACCGCGTGCTTAAACTTCAGCTCTAAAGAGTAAAGATTTATATACTAATTTCTAAACACACTTTGGTAGGCTTTGTCACTACATTGTTATCCTGAAGTCTGACAACCAGAACAATAGTCTGCACCTCCTTTTGTATAATATATTAAGTCAAAAACCTGCCAGGTTTATCTCTACCCTCAAAATGTAAAGGTATAGTGGAGGATTTTAGAAAATTTTTGGAAAGACCTGCCCTCTCCACTTAAAAAAAAATTGCACCTGCACAACCCTGCAGCCGTTCCCGCGAGGGAACGTCTGTTATGCGTGTGTAAGAGCATGTCCGAGCCCATTTTTCCACACTTTAAAAATTTCTGTCTGCATCACTCATACAAGCTTACTTTGAAAAAGAAGATTTGCAATTTTTCCACTTTGTCAGACTCACCACCGGTTAGTGAAAACTGGAATGAGCACATAGGAAACCTTATGTAAACATACCACCAGAATGATTGACAATTAGGAGGACCACTTATTTTGATCATCCAACCAGAAAAAGAACATCCTATTATACCTTGAATAGGGTGTTACGTGTCTTTCAGGACACCTACGCTACAGCAACTTCTCTCTCTCAAGAGACAGCTGTTTGGAAAGTATGGTAGGATATGCATTGCATAAAAAACATTCGAACACTGTATATGCTTTTAGAGCTTACTAAGTTTCAATAGCAGAGGGTAATTTCTATAAAAAGTTAATTTGAGGCCTTAAAGGAATAGTACACCCAAAACATGATTAGCCTTCATTTTCTACTCACCCCCATGCTGAACAACACTCTGGAGTACTTTTTTGATATCTCAAATGCATCTGGAGATCTGGGAGGCTTCTTGCTGTCTGCTGACATTCAAATAATGGAGGTCTATGGTGCCCGAGACAGAAAGGTCCATAGAAGTCCACAAAAAACGTGTCAATATTCCTCCATACTGCTTGTCCAATGTATTCCAAGTGTCCTGAGTGGGTAGCATCCAGAATTTACTCGAAACGAAGTCATTTAGAATGTTTTTAGAGCATAAACAGTAGTGTATAGGATTTCCTGAAAGCGCGCACATGCGTGATCACGACGCTACGGAAGCCGCCAGACATGAAGGCTAATCATGCTTTGGGTGTACTATTCCTTTAAGGTGACCAGAAAGACTGCATCCATCAGAAGGCTAGAATTTAGCACTACTTTAGAACTACTTAATGGGCTCAAGTGTAAAATCACCAGGGCATAATCAGAGAGGTGTATATTACTAATTGAACAGGATAAAGTTGAGGAAAAAAAAGTCCTTTGAAATGAAAAGGTACATGAACAACAGAGTAGAAAGTGTTGAGTGACTCTATGAGGGATTAAGAAGTCTCTTAAAATCAGTTAGGCCTAAGGACTTCTTCATGACCTGCAACCAAACCAATGTGACGCAATGCAGGGATGCTTCAGTCCAATGTTCCATCTGTAACCATATTACACTCTCCTGCCAGTAGGAGCAGAAGATCACCCATGAGGCTGATTCCATTGTCAGTATCTGTATTAGGTGCATAAACATAGGGCAATATAATGCTTCTGCCCTAAACCTCTGCCAGTTTTGTTAGTGTTTGGCCCTCCTTGTCCTTAACCTGAATAGTTTAACTAGCTTTAAACTGGGTAGCAATACTCATTCAAATGCAGTGAATGAATCTGCTCTGTCTGCTGCCACATAGGTAAAATATGTAACCCGCCTAATCTCTGTAAATTCACTCCGAGTCCAGGTGGAGCAAATGCGTCTCCTGTAAAGAGAACACTATTATCTTTTTGAGTTTTTAAGACCCAAATAATTTTGCTCCTCTCAATGGGACGATTACAGTGTTTGATGCTCCAAGTCATCAAACATAGGGATTTCTATTTTCTGTCACAGAATTTGTACCCAACATAAAAGAAGAGAGGTGATGCATTCCTGCTATCCAAGGGGCAGAAACAAGTGGGCCAGATCCACATGGCCAATCATAGGTAGTGAAGG